TACTGCCGTGTTGGACAGCAATAGTGCAGACATCTGAGGCTTCTTCCTGAGCTGGGGGAAGAACATTTGAATGTCAGCTGAAGGTGTTTTTGGTAGATTTCTTTTACAAGTTGAGGAAGTTCCCTCTATTCCTAGTTTCCTAAGAATTTTTATTAAAATGGATTTAAATTTTGTCAGAGTGCTTTTTCTGCATCAATTGATAGAATCATGTGACTTTTCTTTTTTAACCTGTTAATATGGTGGATTACATGGCTTGATTTTAAAAATCAAACCAGTCACCATCCCTGAAATAAATTTGGTCATAATATATAATTTTTATATTTTGCTGATTTTTCCTTATTAATGTTTTGTTAAGAATTTTTACACCTATATTAATGAGGGATATTGGCCTGTGGTTTGATTTTTTTTAAAGATTTATTTTTTTATTTGAAAGGCAGAGAGAGAATCTTCTATCTGCTGGTTTACTCCCCAAATGGCTACAACAGCTGCGTCTGGGTGAGTTTGGGCCAGGTGGAAGCCAGGAGCCAGGAGCTTCTTCTGGGTCTCCCACATAGGTGCAGGGGCCCAAGTACTTGTGCCACCTTCTGTTGCTTTCCCAGGCACATTAGCAGGGAGCTGCATTGGAAATGAAGCAGCCAAGACAGCAACCAGTGCCCATAAGGGATGCTGGCGTTATAGGCAGTAACTTAACCCATTATGCCACAATGCCAGATCTCTTTTCTTTCCCCTTCCCCCTTCTCCCCTCTTTCTCCTCCCTCTCTCTCTTTTTGTCTGGTTTCAAAGAATGTGTTGGAAAATGCTTGCCTTACTTCCTTACTTTTTTTTTTTTTAAGATTTATTTATTTATTTATTTGAAAGTCTGAGTTAAACAGAGGAGAGGCAGAGAGAGAGAGAGGTCTTCCATCTGCTGATTCACCCTCCAATTGGCTGCCTATCTGAAGCCAGGAGCCAGGAGCCAGGAGCCAGGAGCCAGGCGCTTCTTCTGGGTTTCCCACATAGGTGCAGGGGCCCAAGCACTTGGGCCACCTTCCACTGCCTTCCTAGGCCATAGCAGAGAGCTGGATCGGAAGTGGAGCAGCCAGGGACTCAAACCGGCGCCCATATGGAATGCCGACACTGCAGGCGTCAGCCCTACCCACTATGCCACAGAGCCAGTCCCTGCCTCACTTTATTTTCTGGAAGAGATTGTGTAGAGCTGATGTTAATTCTTTCAGTATTTGGTTGAATTTTTCAAAAAAACCTATTAAGGCCTGGACACTTCTGGTGAAAACTTCAGTTATTAGAGACTTTCTTTTTCTGAAGTAAACATTTAGTGCAACAAATTTCCCTCTCAGCACTACTTTAGCTGAATTCCACAAATTTGTGTGTGCATGTGTTTGTGTTTTAATTTTCAGTTTATGTGCATTTCAAAATGTCTTTGATACTTCCTGTTTGCTCTTTGGCTGTTTAGAGGTGTGTTGTTTAGTTTCCAAGTATTTGGATGTTTTCTTGTTATCTTTCTGTTATTGATTTCTAGTTTTATTTCACCTTAGAAAAGGAACTTGGTGATTTCAGCTTCTAAAAATTTGTTGAGGTTTGCTTCATGACCCAGGATATAGCCTATCTATACATTTCATGGGTGTTTGCAATGTGTTTTTGTTATGTAGAATGTTCTAGAAACATCGAACACTGTTGATTGATGGTGTTGTTGAGTTCTACATGTATGTGATCTTCTGTCTAGTTGTCCTATCAATTGTTGATAACGAATTCTTGAAGTATCCAACTATTATCTTAGATTTGTATATTTCTCATTTCTTTTTTATTCAGATTTGCTTCACAAATTTGGCAGCTGTTATCCAGGGCATTCACATTTATGGTTTTTATATCTTCTTGTGGAGCAACTCTTCATCATTATTTAATGTCTCTCCATCACCCTGATAAAGATTTTTATTTGATGTTGATACAGCTACTTATACTTTCTTTTAATTAATGTTTGTGTAGTGTGTCTTTATTCCATCCTTTTAATTTCACTGTACTTATCATTGTATTTAAAGTGACTTTCTTATATTTAACATATAATTGGATCATTTTAAAAATACAGTCTGCCAATCTCAAGCTTTTAATTGGATATTATTTGTACCATAATTTCTGTATTTAGACAATTTGTGTTTAATACAATTATTGATATATTAAGATATAAACTTGCCTAATCATTTTTTGGTTTTCTGTTTGTGTCATTTTTGTTTCTTCTTTTTATTTTTTTCTGTTATTTTTCCTGGCTTCTTTTGTGGTACTTTAACATTTTTAGAGGTTTACGTTCATTTGGTTTTGGTTTGAATTTCTTTGTATGTCTTCTTTTCTGGTTGCTCTAGGTATTGCATCATATATGTGGGTAATGTATTGGGGTTTATTGATGTTACCATTTTACCTGTTGAAGTGAATTGTAGAAACATTGTCTCCCTTTATGTGTCTTTAACCTCCTATATATAATAGGCTTAAATATTTCATCTACACTTATTTAAAATCACATCAGATAATATTATAATCTTCATTTTGGCCATCAATCAGAATTTTCAAAACTCAAGAGGAAAAGGAAAGGTTGCTGTTTTTTTTTCTTTGCTTGTTACTTGTTATATTTTTTCTTCTCTTCTCATATTCTATTCTATTCTAAGATTTTTTTTTTCCTGCCTAGAGAACTTAGATCTTGTAGTAATATTTTCTTAGCTTCTCATCACCAGAGAGTGTCTTGATTTCCCCTTTAATACTGAAGGATATTTTTGCAGGGCACAAGATTCAGGATTGACCTTTTAAAAAATTAATTACTTAATTTGAAAGTCAGAGTTAGAGACAGAGAGATCAATCTTCCATCTGCTGCTTCACTTCCCAGATGGCTACAATGGCCAGGGTGAGCCAGGCTGAAGCCAGGACCTAGGAGATTCTTGCAGATCTCCCATGTGGGTGGCAGAAACTCAAGCACTTGGCCATCTTCTGCTGCTTTTCCCAGGCCATTAGCAGGGACCTGGATTGGAAGTGGAGCAGCCAGGACATGAACCAGTACCCATTTAGGATGCTGGCATCACAGGCAGCGCTTTACCCAGTATGTGACAATGCCAGCCCTGACAGTTATTTTCTCTCAGTGCTTGAAAAATATTTGTCGGTTCCTTCTGCCTTCTGTGATTTCTGGTGAAGAATCCTCTACAATTCTGTTTTCCCTTTAGGTAATGTGAGCAGTCTTCAAAAACGCATGGAAATTTGTATTATGGAAAAGGTTTACATGGATTTTAAACTTTTTATACTAAAATAAACTTATCTTTTAATTCCATTTTCCATGAACTTTTTGAGATACCCTTATAGATTGTATTTCTCTTGCTTCTTTCAGGATTTATTCTCTGTGTGTAGTTTTAGAAGTGTGCTATGTGTCTTGAGGTGGGTATCTGGGTTTGTCCTGTGTAGACTTTATTTTATGTTCATTAATTATAATTGCATGTCTCTTTCAGATTTGGGACACACCTAGCCATGATTGATTCAGGTAGTTTTTCAGCTGTGCCGTTTTACTGCCTCCTCTCCGGGATTCTAACGAATGTTAGGTCTTTTGTTATAGTCCCATGGGTCCCTGAAATTCTTCCCCTCCCTGCTCCAAGTTTTCTTTATGTCTTCCAGAAAGTAGGTAGTTTTTATTGTTTTCTTCCAGTTTGCAGAATATTTCTCTGTCCCTTCCATTGTAGTGTTGCACTCGTTCTTGGAATTTTTTTAATTTTGGTTATTGCATTTTCAAGCTTTAAAATCTTAAGTTTTTTCTTCTTATATATTATATTTCTTTGCCAAGCTTGTGATATTTTGTTTCAAGCATGTTTGTAATTGTACATTGAAACATTATCACGTTGCTTGTAAATTTTTTGTCAGATGATTTTATTATATCTGTCACTGTTGATGTCTATTGATGACCTTTTCTCACTCAAATTCAGATCTTCCTGTTGAATCCTAGACATTTGGGAGCATTATAAGTCTTTGCATCTTATTTAATCTTTTTTTTTTTAAGATTTATTTATTTACTTGAAAGTCAGAGTTACACACAGAGAGAGAGAGGCAGAGAAGGGGGCAGGGAGAGAGAGAAAGAGAGGTATTCCATCTGCTGGTTCATGCCCCAAATGACCACAATGGCTAGAGCTGCACCGATCCGAAGCCAGAAGCCAGGAATTTCTTCCAGGTCTCCCATGTGGGTGCAGGAGCCCAAGGACTTGGGCCATCTTCTACTGCTTTCCCAGGCCATGGCAGAGAGCTGGATGGGAAGTGGAGCAGCCAGGACTCGAACCAGAGCCCACATGGGATGCCAGCACTGCAGGCAGCAGTTCTACCCGCTATGCCACAGCGCCAGGCCCATCTTATTTGACCTTGTGTGTTAGCAGGCATCCCTTGTCAGTGCTGTAGTAGAGAATTGAAGGGCATTACCATGCTGTATTCAGGTGGCAGTCTGGGTTCAAGTTCTCTTCCTGGCGTCTGTTAACACATGGAAGGTAGGGGCTCCTTGCTGATGGTGGGTGGGGTGGGAATTCAGATTCTTCACTAGACTGAGTAGGGACAGGGGTGCCTTATTGCTGCTTTCCACTGTGGTCTCCAATGACACTGTGAGTCGATAGTCTTTCTAATTCTGAGCTGGTTGTGAAGTTTTCCCTCTCTACCTGGCCTCCTTGATACTGTCCTAGAGGGAGAAAGGAAGAATGTGTTGTTACTGTGTAGTGGAGTACTGAAAGTCTAGATTCACGGTCCCACAGGGTCTTCCTTACTTCTGGGATGGAAGTCCTGGCTCTAGGCTTGACCATCTCTAATGCCACCATCCCCTGCACCAGCATCTCCTCTCTCTCCTCCTGATCCTGCATAAAGGCTGGGAGTACACTGCATCGGCCCAGTCTTTGCTGGTACGGGTGAGGATAAAGCTGAAGGTTTTGAAGAGCCACTCCTCTCCGTCCCAGATGAAGTAACCTTTGTCCTACTTAGTGAGTTAATTCTTAGAAGTAACCTTTGCCCCACTTAGTGTGCTAGTCCCTAGAAAGAGCCCTAGGCACCAGCTGTCACTTGAGATGTGGTTCCCAGCAGGAACCCCGCCTCGAGGCTTTGTGATAACTCCTAGTTGCAGAGCACCTTCTGGCGAGCAGCAGATATCCCACCCTAAAGTCTTAAAGTGACTCCTGCGATAGCCAGAAAAATTTTCCCTCCACTAACCCCCTCATTTAAATCCTCCAATCAGTGTGTGAATCGTGTGTGTATCATTTAAACCCTCCAATTAGCGTGTAAATTGTGTGTATTAAGTAAATTGTGTGGTTTTTCCCTTTAAAAATGCTCGTTAACAACTGTTCGGGGCTTCTTCTTTGGATGGCTTTGTGCTGTCCAGAGGCCCGTCTGCGCAGACATTGAATAAATCCTCTTGCGTGTTGCATCTACTGGTTTGGAATCTGAATCTTTGGGGTGCGCATCTCGACATGTCGGGATCCTAGTTCAGGAACCCAACAGGTTTGTTTGTTCTTTTTTCTGTGATATTTGGCTAGTTGAGGGTGGTTAGTGTCTTAATTTTTTTTTTAATTATTTTTTAAAGATAAATTTAAAAATTATTTATTTTCATTTTATTTTGAAGGCAGGGGGTGGAGAAAGAGAGAGAAAGAAAGAGACTTTATATCCAGTGGTTCAGTCCCCAAATCAGGCCAAAGTCAGGAGCCTGGAACCCCTTTGGGTTTTTCCACATGGGTAGCAGGGACTCAAGTACTTGAGCCATCACCTGCTGCCTCTCAGGATCGGTATCAGCAGGAAGCTAGCTTGCATGCGGAGCTACTGAGACTTGAATCAAGCACCCTGATATTGGATGAGAGTATCTCAAGTAAAGACGTAAGCCACTGCACCAAACACCCACCCTTGAATACTGTAATGTGGTTCTGAGATTTGTACCTTGTTTCTATCATATGGAGAATGTTAATTTTTTTTTTTCAGGAGGCGGTTGATCCTGTTGAGTTGAAGGCACAACTCCAGAGCAGCCTTCTTCGGGTAGTCAGTTCCAATGTCTGTACAATGTACACAGCCCACAAGTGATTTTCACCGCTGGCTCATGTACGTGCTGCTCAGTGGCTACCATGGGTCTGCATAGTGTTCTAGCCTATACTGTAGTCCTCAAGATTTGTGAGTCAGCCCAGGATTTCACAAGCTGAAGGAGCTGATTTTTGTGAGCTTCTGCCTGTCTATGATCTCTCTGGTACTTTCTAAAGTGGCCCTTTGGATTCTGTGGCTGGAAAGCTGAGGTTTATCATCCTGCTCAGATGTGCACCTCCAATTGGTGATGCCACATCTTGAGCCAAATGTGGGAGGGTAGGGAGAGGAAAAAGTATTGGGGGCTTTCCCACTCTCTGGGGAAATCTCTTAATAGAGAAGAAGTGTTCCTTTCTTTAGAATTTTTGCTGTTCTGGGTCATCTTCCCCTCCCCCATTTTATTTTATTTTATTTTATTTTAATTAATTTTAACAGATTCAATATGATTTGTAGGTACAAGTCTAGAAACATAATGGTATTCCCTCCCTCCCTCCTTCCTATTCTCCTTCCTTCTACCTTTCTATCTTTTTCTTTTTTTAGTTTTTGAGATAACATATTTTAAATTTGCATTCCAGTAAAAAGGCTTAATACTTCATCAAATAAGAAATTTAATGAGTAAAAAGCTAAAAGACCCTACTTTATTGGGAATATAGACTGTGGATGCTGCTGCTGCTATTATGATATAGCTCAGTGGGTAGGACACAGAAGAACAGAGAAAATAATGGGGGACCTTGGGGTTTCTTCTTTTCTCTCTCTTAGTATTAGGCGTTCTCTCCCTATTCTTTGAGCTGGAAGTGGAAGGGTTTTCCTGAGCTTCCTCTGTTCCGGGGAGCCCACACCAAGGATATAGACTATGTTGAGCACAGGAAGAAAGAACTAAACCAGTAAACTTGCTGCTACTTTGGTGGTACTTTGCGTCTTCTCTGCCATCTATTGACTACTTGCTGCTTTTCAGAGCCCATGAATAGGATCCCTATGTTTTGTTAAAGTCTGATAGATGCTGCCAATGGAAGAGAAAGGAGGAACATTCCTCGTCCATCTTAAATGTAACCAGAACACTTTTTTTTTAATTTTACACTTTAAAAATATTTTGCCACATTCATTTCATATGTAGACATTATATACATACACATATAACTATTTTTTTTTCTTTTTGGACTTGGAATGTATCTTTCCGTTCTATTTTGTCTTGCAGGGTTTCTGTTGAGAAATTGCTGTCAACATAATGGAAATTCCTTTAAAAGTGACCTGGCATTTCTCTCTTGAAAATTTTAGGATAGTCTCTTTATGTTTTAGTTCTGAAAGAGCTTGATCATGCCGATTCAGGGTTCTATGTCCTTCCTCTATCTGAATTTTCATATCTTTCTCCAAAATGGGGACATTTTCTGCTATTATTTAGTTTAATTGGTTTTCTTTCTTTTTTTTTTTTTTAAATTTATTTGACAGGTAGAGTTATACACAGTGAGAGAAAGCGACAGAGAAAAAGGTCTTCCTTCTGTTGGAACCCTCCCCAAATGGCTGCCATGGTCAGCACTGCGCCGATCCGAAGCCAGGAGTCAGGTGCTTCCTCCTGGTCTCCCATGCAGGTGCAGGGCCCAAGGACTTAGGCCATCCTCCACTGCACTCCCAGACCACAGCAGAGAGCTGGCCTGGAAGAGGAGCAACCGCGACAAAATCCTGAGCCCCGACTGGGACTAGAACCTGGAGTGCCGGCGCCGCAGGCGGATGATTAGCCTTAGATTTTCTAAACCATTTCCCCCCACTATATTCAGGAACTCCTAAGACTTGTATATTTGGTCATTTGAAGATATCCCATAGATTCCAAATATTGCTTTTTGTTCTTTCTAAATCTTCCTTCCTTCCTTCCTTCCTCTCTTCCTTTCTTACTTCCTCCCTCCCTCTCCCTCCCTCCCTCCCTTCCTTCCTCCCCCTCTCTCCCTCCCTCCCTCCCTCCCTCCCTCCCTCCCTCCCTCTCTTTCTTTCTGAGTTGTTTCAAAAGACCTGTCTTCTAGATTGGATATTGTTTCTTTGGCCTCAAGTCTGCATTAACCCTTCCCATTGCATTTTTATTTGACTTATTGTATATTTGATTTCTAATATTTCTGTTTGATTTTTGGCTCATTTTATGTATCTCTATGCCTTTTCCGAATTTTTCATCCATGTCTTCATGTCATGTACTGATTTCTTAATTTTATTTAACTGTTTCTCTGTATTTTTAGTACCCTTACAATAATTATCTTGAATTGTTTTTCAGGCATGCTGTAAATCTCCCTGTCTTCACAGTCCAATATTAATGGATTATTGTATTCAAGAAATAATATTGACTTTCTTGCTTATGTTTATTATATTTGCTGATTTTTGTGTATCTGGGATATCTCTTGTTTCTATCACTTCTGGAGGATTTTTAAAAATCAATTGAAGACATTGTTCCTGGAGATGTGTCTCTGAGTCTTGGTGGGGCACATTAGGCTTACTGTTGAGCTCCAGAACTATGAGATAGCTGGGGCCTGGGAGCTCCAGCCACCATTTGTGGATAGGGCAGAGGTACAGAGTGACACCGGGACGGGCATGGTGGTGCACCTCTGGCTGCAGTCGGGATGTGGGTGCCAGCGGATGTAGTCACAGTCCCAGCTCTTCTCTGTGCCTGGGTGAACTCTGTGATTCACAGCTCAGAGTGATCTCACATGGCCGGTGCACTTCACTCATCCAGGCTCTGCTCTGTCCCGAGCGCTGACTCACTCTGTGGTATGTCCTCTGCTCCCACTCAGAGTTCCATCCTCAGTGGGCAGGGAGCTCTGATCCCCATAGTCTGATTGAGTGGCTGTGCAGGAACCTAGCAGGAACTTGTGAATTTCCAAGTGGTGGGAGGAGGAGAGGCATTGGGAAAGAGGATGACTCCCAATTATCTCCATGGTGCTAGGGGCTGTGCTGGGTCCCTGGCCCCCACTGTCCAGCACAGCAGAGCCTGAGAGCTGCCACTGCACTGCTGGGCCGGGCTGGCCCCATGGGCTCAGTCTGCCCTGCTAGAATGCAGGAATGTCTCCAGTGCCCCTGGAAAGAAGCTGGTTAAGAACTTGGCCCGTGACTCCTCTCATGATGGCACCTCCGCTGCAGTCCCTGCCCTGAGCAGTGGGGGTGGGAACCTTGTGGGTTGCCTTTCTGATGTCTGGGAGCCCCAAGTTTTCAGGGGACCACTCTTCACTGGGCCAAGGAGGATTGCTCAGGTGAGAGGTCTGCACAGATGGGCTCTCCCTACACCCACTCCCTGCAGATGGAAACTCCGCTGCCCTGGGGGCCACAAACACTGCCTTGTTTGTCTTTCTCCTCTCTCTAAACTGCTGTGCATGATAAGGATGTCCCCTTGTGTTCCTACTTTTCTCCTACTGCCTCTGATGCTCTTCCTCAGGCACCTGTTTGTAAACATAGCTGCTCTGGAGTTACCTCAGGGGAGGAGGAGGCAAATACTGCGCTTGAACCAAATCTCCCATACAAATAGTTTTTTCTTTTCTTTCTTTTTTTTTTTTTAACAAATGCTTTCTAGGCTCTCCAGCAATACCTTTAAAAACAGATATTCATTCATTTATTTGTTTGTTTGTTTGAAAGGCAGAGTTAGAGGTGGAGGGGAGAGATCTTCCATCACTGGTTCACTCCCCAGATGGCTACAATGACCAGAGCTGAGCTAATCCTAAGCCAGGAGCTTCTTCCAGGTCGCCCATGTGGATAGAGGGGCCCAAGTACTTGGGCTATCTTCCACTGCTTTCCTAGGCACACTAGCAAGAGCTGGGTCTGAAGTGGAGCATCCAGGACTCAAACCAGCACCCATATGGGATGCTGGTGCCACAGGTGGTGGCTTTACCCGCTGTGCCACAGTACCAGCCCCTCCAGTGAGAGTCCAAGGGAAAGTGAATCAGGACACCTGGGTTTTGCCCCACAGCCCCACTCTGGCCACCTTTGTGAAGCTTTCAACACCTTCTACTCCTGGTTATCACTTCATGGTTATCAGCTGGTTTAGATGTCATTGTGGGTCAGACTGTAGGTTGTATGACAGATATGCAGAGACCCTCTGTGCTCTAAACTATCCCTGTCTCTTTCTTTAAGAGTTTTAGTAGTTAATAAAGCAAGCCAATTCTTCCTGGCCTTTCCCTTACGTTACCAACTAACACCATTTAATTGTGATTGGAATTGTGGGTGAGTTTGAGTACTTTCCCCTTCAGTGTTAGTATTTACCTAGTACATTCTCTAGCCTTTTCTGTTGAAAAATATTCTGTTGTATGGAGGGACAGTGTTTTATGTCTCTATTTATTTGTCAATCTATGGCCATCAGTTGTTTTCACCTTTTGGCTCTTATGAAAATAGTGCTGTGAACACTCACGTTCAAGTTTTTGAATAGACACGTGTTTTCATTTCTTTTGGGTATATAGCTATGAGGAGAATTTCTGAGTCATCGACCACCTCCATGTTCAACCACTGGAGGAACTGCCTGACTGCTTTCCAAAATGCCTGTACTATTTTACATTCTGGCCAGCAGTTTGTAAGGTTTATGATTTCTCCAATTTTTGCATTTGACTACATAGGTAAGCAGTCATATATATTAATTTTAGTAGTTTATCAGTTCCATTTGCTTTTATAATTAATAGTGATATCTTCCAATATTTATACCTTCTTGTGTTAGTTACCAATTTTATATTAAAATTTTTACTATTTTTTATTTATTTGACAGGTAGAGTTATAGACAGTGAGAGAGAGAGACAGAGAGAAAGGTCTTCCTCCGGTTGGTTCATTCCTCAAATGGCCGCCTCGGCTGGCGCTGCACCGATCCGAAGCCAGGAGCCAGGTGCTTCTCCTGGTCTCCCATGCGGGTGCAGGGCCCAAGCACTTGGGCCATCCTCCACTGCCCTCCTGGGCCACAGCAGAGAGCTGGACTAGAAGAGGAGCAACCGGGACTAGGATCCAGCGCCCATATGGGATGCAGGTGCTGTAGCTGGAGGATTAGCCAAGTGAGCCACAGCGCTGGCCCCCAAAATTTTTACTCTTTTTTATTTATAATTTTTAAATTTATAAAAGGTGAACACATTTTATGTATTTAATATATATAGAGTTAGGAGCCTAGTGATACTTCCCACATATCCCTCCCTCTTGTCCACACTCCCACCCTCCCTCCTCCTTCCTTTCTTATTCTTTCTTTTAATTTTTACAATGACATACTTTCAACTTATTTTATATCATAAGATTAACCCTCCACTAAGTAACAAATTCAACAAATAGTAAGAAGAAAAACACTGTTCCTCAACAGTAGAGACAAGAGCCATAAATAATAATAATCAGTTCTCAAAATGTCAGTTTTGCTCACATATACTCCATTTTTTGAACTCTGTTAGTTCCATAAATCAGGGAAAACATGGTATTTTTCTTCATTTTATATTAATTCTAAACAATATTGCCAAGAGAACACCTGTTATTCTTGTTCCTGATTTTGCTGTTGTTGCCACTGGTGCAAACTTAGGTACATATTGGGATCATCTAGAGATTTTTAAGAAAAGTGCTAATGGTTGTGTCTCAACCATGAGGCTTTTATTAGTGAAGCTTGGTTTTTTTGACTTTTAAAAACTGTTTAGGTGTTTCTAATGGGAGGCACTTGAGAAACACTGCATAGTGAACATGTATCTGGGTCACACCATTCACCACTTTCAAGTGTAACTATTAATAGTTTTTGTCTATTTTTCCCAGGAGGATCCTGATGGAATGAATTTGTTTTGTATTTAAATCCAGTGTGTATTTTTCATTTTTTTTCCCTGCAGTTGAGTTTAAATTAGTACTGACGTTAGGGCACAGGGCAGAGAGTAAGTTTCGGGGGGAATCAGAGTGTAAAAGTATTTTTGCTTTACCAGTCCTTAGTCTGGTATGTCTGGCCAGAATCCTAGGCTTCTACTGTGTTTCTGCCAGGAGCTCATGCCTCTGGTCAGGCAGTGTAATTTCCACCATGAGTGGCCACGGCGCCGGCCCAGAAACCCTCACCTTTAAAAGTCTGAGGCTTTGGGACAAGCTGTCGTACTCACCATGCGTAAGGGGGACTCATGGTTCTTTTCTCAAAAGGGCCCTTGTGTATGTTCCCCTTGCCAGGAAATTTGCAGTAAACTATACCTCAGGTCCAGCTGCGCACAATGCACATTCGATTATGGAAGAGACTAAGCTTTGGACACAGTGAACTTGGTAGAAAAATGAAAACACTACAAAGACTAGTTTTCCTTTCCATTAGCAAGGAAAATCAAGTGTTGTTTTTGTTTAGTTCTATCATCTGTTTTTTTTTTAATCTTTTTTCCCCCAAAGAAACATTTATTTAAGGAGTACAAACTTCATGCATTCCATAAATACAACTTTAGGAATACAGTGATTTTTCCCACCATATCCACCTTCTCACCCACACCCCCACCCCTCCTCCTCCTCCCTCTCCCATTCCCAGTCCCATTCTCCACTAAGATCCATTTTCAATTAACTTTATACACAGAAGACCAACTTTATACTAAGTAAAGAGTTCAACAATTTGCACACACACACACACACACACACACAAAACTGTTCCTCAACAGTTGAGACAAGGGCTCAAAGTCATTGCACCTTGAAGTTAATTTCGCTTTTTTTTTTTTTGGTAAAGATCTGGGTAATACACAGAAAAATATTTCAGAATCATATAGCTGTTAGTTTTTCTACTTTTCCAAAGTTAAGTTTAATTACTACTAACAGTGAAGAAAGGATCTTCCATTGACGTTTAGATGGAAATTTTGCTTGTTAGAAATGTGTTCAGGGCAGGTGTTTGGCCTAGTTGTTAAAAGGATGCCCATTTCTTTCTTTTTTATTTTTTTGACAGGCAGAGTTAGACAGTGAGAGAGAGAGAGAGTCAGAGAGAAAGGTCTTTCTTCAGTTGGTTTACCCCCAAAATGGCCACTGCGGCCAGCACGCTGCGCGCGGGTGCAGGGCCCAAGGACCTGGGCCATCCTCCACTGCACTCCTGGGCCACAGAAGAGAGCTGGACTGGAAGAGGAGCAACCGGGACAGAATCCGGCGCCCTAACCGGGACTAGAACCCGGGGTGCTGGTGCCGCAGGCGGAGGATTAGCCTAGTGAGCTGCAGCACCGGTCAGGATGCCCATTTCCTCTGTGGGAGTACCTGGGTTTGAGTCACAGTTTTGTTCCCAGTTCCAGCTTCCTGCCAATGTGCACCCTGGGTAGCAGCAGGGCTCCTGCCACCCATGAAGGAGACCCAGATCGAACTCCCTGCTCCCAGTTTTGGCCTCATCCAACCCCAGGGCCATTGGAGGGCTTTTGCCTAGTGAACCAGTGATTGGGAGATCTCTCTCTTTCCATCTCCCTGACTCTCAAACAACAACAACAACAATAACAACAACAAACAATTAAGAA